AGCTGGTGAACCTTGCTATATACAGCGCGGTCAGTCTTCCTTAATAGAGGGCTTCAGGGCTTCTGAGATCGCGTTGAACCGCAGGAATTCACGACGGGGGATCTAGGTTTACCACTATCGTCTACCCTGATCCACAGTTCACTTTCTCGAGATTCGATGCGCAAGAAATCCAATGAAATATGAGCTAACTATTTTGAGCTCGAGATAAGAGAATACAGTGTTTTATTCATTTGATCTTTCGTAATCCTTCTTAATGGAACAAATAGCATTTCAATCTCTTGTAAGCTTTAGTCGTTCAGACATAATTGGACAACCGTGAAAATGAATTGTCTTCGTTTGATTTCCTTTGTCGAGCTTTGATCCAATTAGTACTAATTGTGATAAATTACATCTTTTCATTAATTCCTCAGTACTGAATGAAGTTTACTTTCCTATAGTATAGTAGCAATAATTTTCGTATTGCATGTGAATAAATTGACACATTTCTTACTGAAAGAAAACCGCATAGTTAATTCAAATGAAGTGCTTGAACGAAGTGAGTCGAGAAGTTAAACAATCATTATGGTTAATCGTCTTACTTAAAGTTACGAGTAAATATTTGAATTCTTCAGGCTGAATGATCTTTACAAAACGAGAAAATAAAGTGAAAAGAACGAGAGGTAGTTGAGTTGAATTGGTTTAACAATGCAGTCGTGTGGAGTGAAACAAAGGAAAAGAAATTGAATTCCTTTTCAACTTACTGTTACGTTCCTACTCCTCTTACCGCCATTATAAACTTAAAATTTATAATAATTTTAATGCAATTAAATGATTGCAATTTTATCTCGCAATAATACTTAACGTTTGGTTCTTTTATGTCTTTCTTTAACGATTCCTCGATAAAGCGAATTTCTAATTAATAACGAAACCACGTGTTTCACGTTTATCGTTTCCTCAATCGATCGAAGTTTAATGCTGTTCATTACGTTAATCACAGACAATCGAATTAATCGCCATTGAACACCGCACGGCTACTACTGAGCTGTGCTAATCGATATCACACTTAGAATTAGTTATTGTTTAATGTGCCTCTAGACTTCAAGTATAGCACTAAATTAATTAGAAAATTTACTAAGCAGTATCTTTGTGATAACTTTCTTTTGAACTTGAAAATTAATAATATTTTTCTACAAATTGTTGCTGGGTTCATTTCAATCCGCTAAATTTGAAATTCTTTAATTACATTAATATATTTGTAGTATAGGAATATTATTGTTAATAGCAAAACTATTATTACTATTATGATGCACTGCGAAAGTGTTGCTGTCTTATAAAATTTGGAATACTTGGAAACTTCCAATTGCTACCACCTTTGCATAACGATACTTTTCATTCTCAAACTTCTTCTTTGCCAGCAGACTTTTCTGTTATGGAAATTCTCAAGGGTGCACATCATAAGAAAGAAATATCGTCGTTGGAGACCGTCGAATTTTTTTCGCTTATTTAATTTCGTTCCATGCCACGATTTCGTTTCCCAACTAACAGCACAGCTTCCGGCACTATATTATCGCAGTGAATGGAACGAGCCGACCCCTTTCCTATTCCATCCCCATACTGCTTCCCTGTTTTCGTGTTCTCTGCTTTTCCTTCCTTTTTTCGACCGCTTGTTTTTCCCTCGTCGGAGATTAGGATAAATCGCGCGCGCGGCCACACATCGTGGAAGAAACCGCGTATGTACACGTGTTCTTTTCAAAGTGGCTTCTGTTTGCTTTTTTTCATGGCCCATGGTGAGGGTAAAAGGGGTGCTTATCACTCGTTTTTAAACATGGCTTGCTTCGTAAGAGAGGGTGTACTCGATTCGACGTGACTACTAATGTAATAGGGTCTACTTGAAAATTTATTTTTATTTGTATCTTTTATCGTACGATGTGCCACATATGGTGTAAAATTCGTGTAAAGCAAATTTTCGTGTAACTCGAAACATTTTATATTAAAGTACCTATGATTTTTATTCTTGAATTTATTTTTAAGAAATGTGAAATACTGAAGAAACAAGTGCAGAATTTTAATATATATGTATTAGACCAAAATATTTTTAATTATCATTATTTTGGATCATGTAGATCTTAGGGGGGCATCAAAGTTAAATCGAGCATCTCCCTATGGAGGGTATTAAGCGAGGGGTGGGTACCAACAACTTTTTCCTTTACCAAAATGCTTATTAAGGCTTAGTTTTTGAGTTATTAATTAAAAACAGCAATCATACATACTGCGCATGCTCAGTCGAGCGAGTGCCGGCTACGAACCGGCGCGCTATCGAGTACTTAGTTTGTTCGCGGCCACGGTTGAGCGCGGTTCTCGTAACCAACGCTTCACAGCTGATCCTGCGCGTCGTGCGCGCTCTGATTGGTCGATGTGTTTTCATTAATAATTCAAAAACTAAGCCTTACCGAGCATTTTGATAAAGGAAAAAGTTGTTCAGAGTGATCTCAGCTACCATCTTAAAAGGTGTCTACCTGTAACCGAAAATTCTGTATACATTAATTGCCATGGATTTTTATATCTCTTATAAAATTAACTGCAATGATGTCGAAAAGTGGAAACTTCTAGCATCATCTTAATAATTCTGACCGTGAAAGCCTCAAGGATGTTATCGTTATGCAGCTGACAAGAAGGTGGATGGCAGATGAGCTATATCTCTAATGTATTCTAATTTAAGTCTTATGAGTTACGGGGATAATATTCGCTGACGGTCTGGATAGCTTAATTAGCACAGCAAGTCGTCTGACAAGCGGAAAATTTAGCTTCTAATCCCAGTTCAGTAATTCTACAAATGCTTCTAACAATTAGAACGCATTGTGTGTTTAATTAATTGCACGCACTTGACTTGGTACTTAACACTCAAATGTTTCAAACACCTCCCAAAGTTTTGAAAAATTTTCAAAACTTTAAATTATTATCATTGCGAAGTTTCGACAAGTGGAATACGTCATTTCACTACTTGTCGGAAGGAAGTCGCGAAGATTTACGGTTTCTGCCAGATGTTGGCCTTTTGTTCGTTAAGGAAAACCGACGGAAATGTGTACCTTGGGAAAGGGAATTATTCATATAAGCTCTCAAACGAGGTGAATTGAAACAATCCCGGAACCGAAGCTGCGGTGGATAAATCTTGAAACTGAAATCCACAATTTCGTAACTGGTATTGCGAGAAAGTTGTGACCTGAACATGTTTCATATGGAAGCTCGTTAGATTTAATCGATATGGGATTGAGACCTGACGTAGATTCATAGGACTGAGATTATTTTATTTACAACGTCCTGATCACTTTTTTATTCTTCACTCAATTCTTGCAAAATTCCAAATTTTTCAAATTGACACTTTTTAAATAAAAATAAAAGTATATAATAGATAAATTATATGAATTATTTAATTTAGTTTAATTTATGAATTTTTATGTTTAGTAACTAATAATCCTCGTATCATTTATTTCATCTTTAAAAATACCCTTTCAATTATCTACTTCAGAAAGAAAAAATCTAATAATAACCTCCAACGACATGAACTGTTCGCTTAAGAAATTTTCGAAGACGTTTTGTTCTGGAACCTTGCCGGCAAACAGGATGAAGGAAACGCGTAACCCTTCTTGCCATTTACCAACATCTTCGGCGAATTAAATCGGTTTCCAGCATCTGCGTCGAGCTTCTCGTTAGCACAACTTGGTCCACTTATTCTAAGGAGATTCTGGGGATTTACGGGAAATCATGCTGAATTCCACTCATCGTGAATAATTCAATAGACCCATGCACTTTGCATTAAACGGCGCGCTAATACAAGTAAACGGACGCGAACACTTCGCTGCTGCTTTTAAGCAGAGAAACTTTCTACGAAAAGGATTGCAGTTATCGATTATGTTGTAACTCGAACATCAACGGTAAAGCTTCGATTTTCATACTCTTACCCTATTCAATATTTCATATTCAGTACGTGGAAGAGATTTTATCATCAGAGCTTTAGCTTCATTATAATTATTAAGATCTTAGGAAGGTCAATGTTTGTTTCCATCTTATGTAGAACATATTAAACATGCGCACAAGAAGTGCAAATTCAACTGTGTAACTTCTTGATGTACACAGGGCTACAACCCGTAAAGGGAAAATCTCAAACTTCAAATTAATGATAGTTGGATTATGAAAAATAATCTTTTAGCTTCCATGAATTTAGTTAAAGTCGTTATAGAAACAAGAAGGTGATAAATTACATTGTTAAACACCATCTATTAAATTTCAATGTTTCTTTAAAAATTTAATAACGCGATACTTCAATAAATGAATTAGCAGAGTTGAAACAATTCGTGGTCATTTCACCATTTGATATTCAAAGGGTCGTATAATTAATCCATAATTCGTATTCGATTTTACAGTATTTGCATTGTTCGATAGTCATGTTGTTTTAAGATATATGCATAAATTATCTGTCGCTTTTTTGTTCGTTTCCACACATCTATCGATTTCTGTATTATGGATTGGAACCGTAATAAATCCGTGTAATTTATGCGTATTTCTGCTTCGACTGCCAAAAACTGAATAATTTTGTTAATATTCGTACGTAGCGATTAATATTGCAGCAATTAATTTTTTACTGTTTAAAATACGGTATTAATGAATAATGTAGAAGACATTATCGGTAGAAAAGAGGAATTCGTATTAACATTATGCGTTTATTTTACGTAATGTAACTTTGTCGATTAATAATTAAATACTCCTAGCTATTTATATAATATTTAATTACTAGGCTGATTGAATAAGCACTTTAATTACTCTATACATACATTAATTTTTTTAAATTTCTTATTACAAGGCTCTGGAAAAAAAATATTTAACTAAAAATGTAGACATTAAAGTCAGCTGTTCTGCAAAGAGCGATGGAGAATATATACGAGCAAGTCTTTTGAATGATAGCATACACACAACGGAACAGTCATCCAGAAAATGATCTCTAACAAAAATGATCTTTGTTGCAGGAATACCGATGCACGATGAAGGGTTGTCGGAGCGCAAGAAATGTCCGCTCGGGCGCAAAAACGTCAACGCGTCGAGGCTGAGCTGGCAGAGTTCCTCCTGAATGGAAGCGCGCGCTTCAAAGAGGGTGGTTGCAAGTGCGAGAGAAGCAGACGTTAGACTGGTGAAAAGGGCTACTATCAACCCTTAACAAGCGTTCCCTTGTTAGTTACGGAAAAAAATGAGGAGCTTTCTGTACGCGTTGTTGTCGTTGCTGTCGGTGGTGTGCAGCTTTCAAAGTGGAGGCGTAACCAGGGGTGGCAGCGGCATACAAATCGGCACCAGCGACAGGGGAACGCATTCTAAGGGAACAGGATGGGGGGGTCGCGGTCATGGGGGAGTAAAACTTGGCGAGGGGAGATTTCCAAATTCTACGAGGCAATTCCGAACTACCACAACCACGCTTCCACCACCACCACCTAGATCCACTCATGCGCCGCATTCTTCGGACGCGAACCAATATAACATCACTTATCTGAGGGTACGTACAATTTTTTTCATGTTAATTTACTTAAAATACTATGTAATAATTATATCGTTAATCATTTGTGATTGAAAATCAAGATAGCTTATACACTGTTGTAAACAGAACCATTTAATTTTTGCCCTCGGATGATGGACCATGGAGAGAGCTCCAATTTTAATTTAATTTTGTATTTCATATAAATTACATTTTCTTAATTTTACTGTTTTCTTCAAAATTATTCTCCCAATATATGAAACTCTTTCAGTTAAAAATTATACATTGAACTTTAGATTCAGACTTCGCTGTTCAAGGGTTAAGCGGCATCTTCATAAATTATTTTTAATTTAAATAAAAATAATGGTTTATATAACTAAGAGCTGTCATATAAAATTTATCTGCTCAATTTAGATTGATTCTATTTTTAGTTTTCTGTTATTTCACATCTCTTCCATGTGTATTAAGATAACCAAAAATCGAAGAAGCTTTCGACTGATAAAATTAGGTGACCCTATTCCTTGGTGCATCTGCATTCGTAACATAGTATCTCCAATAATTTCATTCTACGAATAGTTTGAGTAGCTGTAATAAGGACAACATTTCTATTTAGAATTTCTAACAGCAAACGAGGATAGATTTTACCTCAACTAAAAGCAATTCCCTTTTTGCTTTTACATCCTTACATTGGCTGACTTTTCGAAGAATCTTGGTCTTTACTCGAAAGAGGAGTGATCAAAGATTCAACGTGTTCCTGGGAACGTTGCAATATGTCTTCTTTCATCCAATAAAGATCAATCTAAGTGAATAAATAATGTGCATAGTTCCTCCAGAATCGTGTCGAACGTGAATTTCTTTGAACTGGATAATCATATTTTTACACACACGTGTTTCCATATTTAATCTGCCCTAAAATTTCTTTAAATCTCTTCAGCAAAAATTTAGAAAAAAAAGGTGAAATAGTTAATTAGAAGTTTTTAATTTGATTTTTTGAGAAGGACGAATATGTAGGTAATTTATTCAAAATTATTCATTTATTGTAGCTCTTTTAATTTAAACAGAATAAGTAGAACAAGGTTTATTGTCAGATGTTAAGTCATTTAAAATATCAACGTTTGTCTTATAATTAGTTTAACAAACTTTTTATGAGACAATGTTACTGTTCATCCTCTTTTACAGTACATAACGAAGATTCCTAAGTTTAATTAGAATTCAAATACACGATAAACCTTGTGCAAGAGATTAATATCCCCTTCCTGGTAGGTATCTTCTCATTACAGTTTCAATTCTACCAACAGCCTGTGACCTGTTACGTAAATTTAATTCCAGGAGAATAATCGCTATTTCCTATTAATTACATGACACTACCAATATTTTTTGCATCCATCATTTTACAACGATTGTCGACTGAAATATTAGCCTCGTTGTAATTACAAACTCCTTCTTCCGCGAGCTATAATTTCCTATGGTAATCGTTTGAAACGCGCCACCGAAAGGTGTGTCCAGTTTCCGGAAGTAATTATACCTTTCCTTCATCCCCAATCTCCATTATTCTCAATTCTCAATTCTCGTCGGTCTGTGAAATATCGCTTTCGATCAGCTCCGCGGGTGACATTTAATCATCTTAATGCACGTTAGAGCGGACTATTTTCGATGGCTTGATAACGATTAACGTCACGATCACTTTAATTTAATCTGCCTTTGAACGCTACGATTATACTGGCCGAGTTAATGTTCAATTTATTCTTAATAAACGAAAGAAAAACTGGTTCGTAAAACTGCCGAAAGAGAAAAAGAAAATAAATTGAAATAGAAAGTAATAAAAAGTTGAAGCAAGGATAAGAATTAAAGTTTTAAAAATTAAGGTACAGGGATAAGTGTGAGGAAGATAAGTAAAAGTCGTTAAAAGTGGGTGAATTAAATGTAGAATCAGAAAAGAAGAAGTAAAGATAGTCAATTTTTCAAGTTACCGCGAAGAACCGTGACAATTACCGTGGCATACTTCTTGGAAAACTGGGTCGTGACCGGCTAATTGCACCAAAGAAATGATTTACATTTCTAATTAACCATATGGGAACGAAGAAGAGGGCGAACGAAAGGACGGGATTTCTTGCTCCAACCGCGAACTTTCAGAAAGTTACCTCTTAATTACTGTGTCAGTGGTAGTTTACTACTTGCTGGATAATTTCTGCTTGGAGGTCAAAGATACAATCTGATTGAGAAAAGTTTCGACGCGATAGGCAGAAATGTAACTTACTGTCCATTCTCTGCCCATGTTCCATTCATCTGACCCGATCGATTCGAGCAACAGGTGCTCGTTAATCCATTCTGGCCATAATAAAGTGAACACTGAATGCATTTTTTCGGTTCGTTCATATACGTGATGCTTGTCTTCACAAATAACAGGTTAAGAAGCCTCATTAAATAATAAACTTAATTAAAATTAATTTTGCATTTCCGAATCTTTCGTATTTTTAATGCTACTTGTTTAGTACTCTCTTATTTCAAATATAGAATTTTATTTGTGCGCGTTTTTGGACAAAATTATTCGGTTTTCCACGTGAGAATGTGTTCTTCTGTTTAACAGGTAGGCATGATGGTACCACACATGTCATTCAAAGTGAGGGAGTACACAAAGGCGGTCACGTCGGCTGTCCATTCGCTTCAAAAAAGCACTAGAAGCCCAAAATTAAAACTTTTTGAACGATACGACATCCATGTGAAGGTGGCGATGAAGGCGATGACACCCAGTCCCACTGGTAAGTGCTTTATTAAATTTTATACAAATTGATTTTATCGACGGAATCATTAATGATAGGCGCCTCTTAATTAAAGAAACAAGAGGAAATATTTTAAACAGTCAGGTACGCAGTAAATAGGAAGCTTAAATTTAAAAATTAACCAAAGGTGTTTTCATCAATAATTGATGATTTAATGTACCGTAATATCCGTTTTTACCGTGGCAATAAACGTATTAATATTTAATTATCATCGCAAGCTGAAAGCAGAGCAGGGTTAATGAAGTACATATCATAACAGCTGATCGATAACGTTTTACGATCAGCGAATATTGATACTGTATTTATAAATTTAATCTTCAATAGAAATTCAACTCTCGATAGAAGACTCGGAATTACAGAAACTTGCTCTATAATTTAGTATTTGGTAACGATATGGTTCGCAAGTGACTCAGTTTCCTTGCTAGGTATAATAGAATCTACATACGAAGATTTCTATTTTGCTTGCAACGGTCCTTTGTCCTGTTTCTGCCTCATTATTCCCGTGATAATCCACCTAACGAGAGTAAAAACTCACCATGAATTAAGAATTGCCAGACGGCTTCACTTAATCCTTTTCGCTAAATTGAATTACGGTGAATGGGTAAAAAAAATTTCATTCTGAAGATGGATGAAAATTGCTCCTCAAACATTGGTTTACTTCATAATCTAATTATGGTTCATTTCTCATGGAAAGGGTGAAGATAAAGCGTATAAGGACTTCCTGTCTGGTCCACAGCTTTAACTATCTGAATCTATTTTAATTGCCCATTAATTTTTCAAAAGAGACTAATTTAGTCTCTAATTTTAGAAGAAAATTATCAAATAAATCATAGTATTAAATAGTTGACTATTTTGCTATTTTACTACTTTATTATTTCACTAGTTTACTTATTTCTTTAACTTAATCTATCCTACATAAGTGAACTACTGACGTTAGCTTACAAAGGGATACATCGTCTAAAATAATACTTTGTGAATTTATAATATAACTCGAGATAATGATATGCCGCATTCGTGTTTAATTGCCCTTTAAGGATGAGAAAACTAACATAAAATTCAAATAAACATTCCTACTTCAACATTTCTTTCTTGAGAGAAGAAACTTTTCTAAAAATTTTGTTAATGCCAGTTTGAAGCGCTTATTGTACCATTAAACTTTTATTCGCAATGATTTTCACTGTCTCTTATATATACTTCAAAAGTTATAACAGAAACAGTAGGAATTGGCCATTTAACTTTAAAGTTAGTTTTCACATCTTTAAAGGACGATTGGGCACGAATGAGGCATGTCGTTTTTCTTCTCTTGGATCACTTTACAAACTCGCAAAGTTTCATTCAAATTTCTGAGCAAGAGTTCGTGATGCTTCCTTGTTAGCGAGTTAGATGACGCAGTCCGAATTTCTCAAGAATTCCTCCACTCACAAACGAAATGTTCCCTGAAATATTCCAATAATTGAGAAATAAATCAAAAATCTCACATTTGTATAATTATAAAATGATCAATTTCTATAAAAATAATTAGACCAAATCGAACGCTACTCGAGAAAATAGATTCTTAAAAACACCTTTGGCCATCCATTATCACGTCCATCCTATGTAGACGTTTATTCAAAAGTCGTTGAATCTCGTTGATGTGCAAACAGAGCGGAAGTTGAAAATAGCTAGCTGTATCTCGAGTAACCCGTATAGATCGCGAAAAGGAAATATGGTGAAGTACGTTTTTCAAGTGACGTCAGCGTGGAACACGGTGAAGGATGATAACGAATCCATGGGGAAGCGAGTAGAACTTATTTACGAGGCAACCGTAAACGTAACCATAGCCACTTTTTCGCTAAAGCTCCCTGAACTCTTGTGAACCGTTTCCTTTCTAGTGAACGTTCCTTCGGGACCGAATAAAATGAGCTATGTAAGAAAAAACATAAAGCTTTACAGCATCTCGATCGTCGGTCTCTCTCGTTTCGATAAGATTACGAGCTGAAGAGTGCAAGGAAATGAGAAAGTATCAGGGAAATGAGGATTCTTGTTATTTTAGTTCCGTTTCAACTTGCATGACGCCGTGAAACTTTGAAGTCAGACCCTCGTACGTTATTGTATGTAGTCATACAATGAAAATAGTCGTAATAGTATTTAACCCTTTTTATATTCTTTATTTTTATTTTTCATTTTATTTCTTCACTAAAGATTCTTTTGGATTTTAGTATTATTTTGTTAGAAAAAGTTATAATACGATAAACTAGACTAATTTTGATATTACATTAATTATCGTCGTTCTCAACTTTAAAATTTATAATAAAATTAAGTAAAATTATAATTCTTGTAAAACTTGTTTGCCTGGAAAGTAACCAAATATTTTGATTAAACAAGTCCCGAATGGGAAACGTATGAAAAATATTTTCTGAAGCATCTAAAGTTGAGGCACGAAAATATTTTGCCTAGCAACGAGTAGTTTAATCATCTCTTCCATGAACCACGAACCAAAACAGAACGAAAACAACATTCTCTAAACCAATTTCCGAAAAACTGACAGCAGCCTCTCTAAAAACAGAACAGCGAACGCGAAAAAAAGCTAAAAATTCAATTGATAAAATAAAGAACGTCCATATTTTTAATACGTTTTCCTGGTAAATTACTTTCGAAGGAGAAATATCGTTTCAAGTCCTCTCGCTTTTCTCAGTTGCAAGCGATTCCTTGAAAAGGAAAACAGCACTTTGTTGGTCGAGCAATATTAAACGCATCAAACGTGAACGAGATTTTCAAGCATCCGGGGCGTGAACAAATTTCTGAATGAAAAATTCTCTCGCCTTCGTTGCTCTAATTGAGGAGAGAGAGAGAGAGTCACGCTTTTTGCGTGAATGAAACGTTTCCACTGTGGAAACTCGCGATAAATGGAAAGTTAAATGAAATTCGCGAACCGACCGGCTTGAATCTGAACGAATATAAATTCTGAGCCGACTTTCGGCTTGATCCTACTTAAAGGACCAGCCTATGGGACTCCTTGGAAACTTCTGTCTGAACTGATTCGAGAGCAAGAATCTCGTGGCCAAACTCACCACCGAATAAATTCATCGAACCGAGTGTTGTTCGCGTTAGGACGATCTCTAACGGTGAGTCTTGAAAGAAAAATCACGTTTCTATGGGAAGTTTCGAACAAACTACGAGATATCGGTCGAAAGTTGGTAAAATTCTGTGCTTCTGGAAGAGATGAATTGATGGAAAGATGTTTAGATTTTAGGAAGATGTATGGAGGAGTTCTTTTATTGATAGATATCGAAGATATTCTCTTAAGATATTCATAGATTATACAGAATTTCTAGATTCTTCATTTATATTCATTGGAAATTAAAAGAATTAACATATTTACCTTTAGGAAAAATCTGAAAGATTTATTTCTCAACATGGATGTCAGAAAATCTTGGTTTATGTGTACCACGGTTTACACAAAGGTCGTAAATCTTCGTGAGATTTTAGCAGGCGTCGTCAGGATAAAAAGCAACGAAGATCTCGGGGATCGGTTATTTTTCGCGACGTTCGTGTCTTTTATAGAGGTGTCAGTTTTATTGCAAAAATACTGGAAAACCGTATCTGTGGTCATTTCAACGAATGACAGCAGACCTCCTTGGTTGCTTCGTTTATTTTTTTGCTAAGACGAATAATAACAAAGTTTGTCGACTTTAATACAATTCATTTTATTGCACTCGAATTAGAACATATAATACATGTATGATTTAATATTATAAGGGAAAGCATTTAACCGTGTTTCTAATTGTAAGTTGTCTAATTCACCCTAATTAGAATTATGAATTTATAATTCTAATTAGTTATTATTTTTGAAATTGTTGATAAAGTTTGATCGAGTAAAATAACAAGAAACTTTTCTTATCTGCAATTTCTCTTTAATTTTTTAAATAGATTCACGGTCCGTCGGTGTCACTCTGTAAGGAGCTTTCGAACCCAGCTAAGTAATCGATTGATTTATGTAAGCTCGACACGCGCGTGCTTCCCATATTTTCGGTCTAGAGGGGAAAAAACTCAACGTAGATAAGCTTCATCTGCGGTTTGACGTTGGAGTTAGGGGATGGAATAGGATGCTACGAATGGAAGATCAATATACGCTACTGGTGAAAAATTTCAGATCACTGACTTTTATTATTTGAAATTTTCTACCATAATTTCAGTAATTAATCGTAAAGGGATGACAACTTAATTTCATTTCAGATCAGTCACTTTTTGTTTATTTTTAAAATTTCGGTTGAAGTATTGTCTTCTTTTTAGTTTGAAATTGTTTATTTGATTCTGAACATGTTTGTATCTAAAGCCATCGCAAGGAAGCCTTGCTTCTTCTTTTTATTGGCACAAATATTATCGACAGAAAATCAGGATGTCGAAGGAAAGCTCGAGAAGTTGTAGAAGTGCCAGATTAATGGAACTAAAAGCTTTGCACCCTCAGAAAAATACTTTTACTTTTTCTCGTCACACATCTACTTAATATCAGTGGTCATTTCAGGGAGGGTACATAAAAGTTCATTTATCCTTTATGTGAAAAGTTATAGAAAATAATATATATTCATATAGGGTATAAACTTTCCTTAGTAAGAAATTTCTATCATTAATTCTAATTTTCATTTAACGCTCGAACAGCAGAATGTTGGTCAATTGGGACACAATTTCACAAATTGGACCTCTCTCCATGGTCCGCTGTCCGAGGGTTAATCCCATAAATTGATATTAAAATTTCCAAGTAGTTTATTCCACTTTTTCCCTTCACTTCAATAATACTATAATAAATCTCGCGTTAAGAAAATATTTGCAATCAAAATGCACTTTACATAATCGCAATTTAATAAATTTAAGTTCAAAGGACGCGCAAAAATTTTAATTTACAAAATGAAAATAATTACTCCTGATTTCTAACGCGGGTACGAAGCAACAAGTTTCAAACAATTAATCAACAGTAAATCGTTCGTCTGAAACGGATATTC